GGCACCAGCAGGCATCCAAACTATGCCAGTTCTGTCAGAGTACTGAGTCAAGCAAGACAGAAATCAGTCCTATAGGCAGCCCTCTGAAAAGCTGGAATGCTGAATGCCTGTTCCACTGCCCCCTCTCTCCATTACAACAGGAAAAGCAGGGAGCCAGGCACTCAACTGTACTGGTTTGGGGGAAGACTGATTGTAGGTAAAGTGAAATAGCTCTTCTTACCCATTTTAAAGTGGCTTTATTGGCTTAGAGTTTGTTTGAGATATCGTAACTTTTTCTTTTCGAGTTGGAGTCACACTCCATTGCTCAGGCTGGAAGGTAGTGGCATGCTCACAGCCACCCCAGCGTCGACCTGCTGGGCTCTGGCGATCCTTCGGCTTCAGCCTTCCAAGTAGCTGGAATTACAGGCGTGAGTTACCACACCCGCCTAATTTTTTTTTTTTAATTGTAGAAAGGAGGTCTCACCAAGTTGCCCAGCCTGGTCTCAAACCCGCAGGCTCAGGCAATCCATTTGCCTTGGACTCTCAAAGTGTTGGGATTACAGGCTGAGCCCCTGAGCCTAGCCTACTGTAACTTCTTAACAGGTTTCTGAACTTTTCATAAAGGTATTTTGGTCCACATATTGTTGTTAGATTAGTAGCTCTGTGGGGAAATGAGGGCTGGGACTTTTTTTTTTTTTTTGAGTTGGAGTCTCACTCTGTCGCCCAGACTGGAGTGCAGTGGCCGCTCCCGGCCACTGCAGCCTCGACCTGCTGGACTCCAGCGATGCTTCCACTTCAGCCTTCCAAGTAGCCGGAACTACAGGCGTGTGCTACCACGCCCGGCTGATTTTTTGATTTATTGTAGAGATGAGGTCTCGCTGCCCAGGCGGGTCTCGAACCTGTGGGCTCAGGCAATCCACTCACCTCAGCCTCCCAAAGGCAAGGGATTACAGGCTGAGCCACCGAGCCTGGGTTGGGACTTTCTATTTTGCCATTCTGCTCCTTTTACTGGTCTTTTTATCGCCTTCCGATGTGCAAGTATGATCTCCTTAGGAGTCATCTTGAGGCTAAAGGCCCATTGTTCTGTGCACTGGGATGATCCAGGCACAGAGAAGATAGTTAACAATTACTTTCTGAATGACTAAAGAAATTTTCTTTAACATATTTTAAAGCTTTCATGCTTCACGGAAGATAATACATCTGTATTAGCTAGCATTCATTCCCAGGGGAACCTGTCTAAATGAACTGGTTCTACAGGGCTCCAAATAAATTCCCCAAGAGTTTATTCTAAAAGTATTATTTTATATCTATACTTTAAGAGAAAGCACTTTCTTTTGCAGTGCTGCATGTGCTAATTTATCTTTTATAAAAATTATAAACAAAGAAATGTAGAAGTCCCACTCATATTCAAAGTATAATCAAATCCAACTTCTTCCCCAAAACCTTCCCAGTTCCCTAAGTTAGAAGTCATTCATTCGTTTATCATTTATTCAACAAACATCTATTATGTGCTAGATACCCTACTAGGTTGCTTGGGCCACTTGTAGCTCTGATGATATTACAGAACTTCTCATAGCTTCTTACAGACTTTAATATTTATGTATGCAATTTCTTCCCTTTTTAACTGTGGGCTTTTAGAGTGAAGGGACTATGTTCAATTCATCTCTGTAACCCTGGCATCTGTAAGATGCTTTGCAAATAGTAATTAAAACAAAATACAGGAGTGCTAAAACAAACCTCAAGCAGCTAGATTGGAAGAAAATGTCTTCTAAACCATCTGGATTTGCTAAAGAACCAAAAAGGCTAAAGCACCCAGTAATCAGGTGTCAAATCAAAATTAATTAGCTTCATTTATGCTTTTTTCTATTCCTGATGGAAAATGTGATGACTTTTTATAATCCCTTATTTAAAGGATACTAACAATTTAGTGGTCCATATCTCAGTTATATGTACATTAAAACCAGTTATCAAGAAAAATGAAATTGCACTCAAGTGATTTCCCAGACACATAAGAATCACCATTACCAACCACCCAAACCAGGAAACATCCTCCTATGCTCGCTACCATAAATTCAGTCACAGGAATATAAGAATTGACCAGAATAAAATAAAGACCCCAAAGGAACAGAGAAAACCAGGAAGTGCTACATATACGGAAAGGAGGAATGAAATGAGCTTGGTAAACAAATGTCCCCGGATCCTACTTCCAAATTGAGTAAAATTCACAGGGCAAAAAAAGCACAGAATGTGGTCAGATCCATTGACTGAGAGATTAAAAGTTTTTCTGAATGTCAGAAAACCTTGAGATCATGAAGCAAGGGAATATTATTCAAAGGAAACTACGGCTTTCAAAGAAAAGGGAAATGATCAAGGTAATTACCAGCTCCTGGCACATGGTTGGCACTTATTAAATGATAGGTATTATAGGGGGCTAAGAACTAGCTCAGATATCCCTCCTTTGTGACCCTCCGAGGCAGGACTGCTGAACATCTTCCTCTATGCTCCCATAGTAGTCTGAACAGGTTGCCATCATACTATTTACTATGTGTATTAAGGACTGAAAGCTTGTGCCACCCCCCCATTCATATGTTGAAATCTAATTCCCAAAGTGATGGCATTTGGAGGTGGGGCATGTGGGAGGTAATTAGGTCATAAGGGTTGGAATCCTCATGAATGGGATTAAAGCCCTTATAAAGAGGCTAGAGAGCTAAGTGCTCTTTCTGCTACAATGAGAAGTCAACAGTCTGCAATATGGCTGGGGGCCTTCACCAGAACCTGACCATGCTGGCATCTAATATTAACCTCCAGACTTCAGAACTGTGAGAAATAAATTTCTGTTGTTTATAAGTCATGCAATTTATGGTAGTTTGTTATAGTAGCTGAACTAAGATAATATGTCATCAACGTATCAGTTAATCATTGAGAGAAAATAAATGAACTCAATAATAGTTATTGACTAGAAAAGAATGAAAAGACAAGATCATTTTTTTTAAGTCTTGTTCATTCCTCCACATTTCAAATGCCATTCTATTTCACCTTGTTCTGTTCAAAGTAATATCTCTTCTCTCACCAACACAGAAAAAGTTTCACAGACTAAATTCTTCCAGATAATACAGTATGGAACTGTGGGAAACCATGGGATATTTGGTTTGTTTTTCAATTTGTTTTGAAATAATTTTAATTCGACAGATATATTACAAAAATAGAGGTCCTTTCATTCTGTGTCCCTTACTTTCACTCCTTACAAAACTACAGTGTAATTATTGAAAGGAGGAAATTAACATTGAGGCAATAAAATTAACTATTCTATAGTCCTTACTTGAAATTCCCAGTTTTCCAACTAATGTCCCTTTTTTCTGGTCCAGGAGCCTACATGATATTTAACTATTATGTCTCCTCCATTCTGTGACAGTTCCTCACTTTTTCCTTGTCTTTTATGACATTGACATTTTGAAAAGTATGTCTGTTATTGTGTAAAATGACCATCGATTTGGGTTTGACAGACCTAGGTTTGATTCTTGGCTCCATGAGGGCAAGCCAACCTTCCTGGGACTTAAGTTTCCTCATTTGCAAAATAGAATAATAATACTGATTTTAAGAAGGTATTTTGAAAATTAAATAAAGCAATTTATATTAAAATACCTGTCATATAAAGGCATACAACAAATATTAAGCCTATTTTCCTTGTGTTGCTTTTAAGTATTTTGCCAATATTTTTCTAAAATGTCTTACCCATATTTTAATGCCTTCTCTTTTAGATAAAATCACATAGAATTTAGCCTTTGATTGATGAATCACTGTTATCACTATAAACAGCTATTGTTGTATGATGCAACAGTTCTAGATGTGTATTTTTGTTTGTTCTCTCTCGCTACTGTCCCCTCTCAAAGTTAGTATGTTTGCCTATAAGGCCTTTTTAATTCCATTTTTCATTTTCAGCTCGTGATGTGTAGAAATTCATTTATTCACTCATATATTCATTCAGTGACATACTGAATCTACTAAGTGCCAGCTCTGTGTTAGGATCTTGAAGACAGTGATAAGTTACTTCCTGTCCTCATCAATTTTATGGCTAGTTGGGGGAAGTGGACAGGTAGACAGTTATATGCAAGTCAATGTGAGCAAGCCCGTCAGAGTTGTAAAACCTTGGATCACATGAGAAATATGCTTAGCCTGGAACTGGGGGAGGAGTCAGGCAGGGGAAGATTTTGTGGAGAAGTATACCTCAGTTAAGTCTGCAAAATTTGTAGGAATTAACTGGATGGAGGAGGAAAGAGAGCAAAAAGCATGTAGTTTAAGGAAGAGCTATTAGAACTGCGTGCTGAGTAAAAATAAATTGGTTCTGAAAAATAAATCTCCTGTGTTATAAACTTGTGCAGCTTGAGAGTGATTTTGTGCCAATACCTCAGGGGCTCAGAAACCTCACCAGGAAACTCCTGGTGACTGCAGTTGACATACTTAAAACCTTTGGCTATTATACAGAGTTTACTTCTTTCAACATCTGTGAACCGGAGTAAAACTTAAGGTGACAATTGACTGCTTGTTCCCATTTCAAAAGTATAACAGGTTTGCCCTTTTCTGATAGAGGAGTTTTCCTTTTAAAAATCTAAGTAGCCATCAAAAAGTTCTTCTTACACTGGCCCTTTTAACTTAAGCTGACAGAGAGGTTTCGAGGTTTTCTCAACTTTCTTCCCTTGTGCAGCACTCATTCCTGTGGGTTTAGAGGTTTGGCTTTGTGTCCAACTCATTCAAAAGCCCTAATCTATGTCAATTTGTGATCTTAGCAAGTGCTACAAGTCTATTACCCATTAAATACTGGAACTCAGAAGAATCTGATACAAATTTTCAAATTATTAAAAGGTTTCTCTGTCAGTTCCTACTTTACTCTCCCAATCATCTTCACTTTTTTTTTTTTTTTTCCTCATCTGGAGAGTAAATAAGCTGAATTCTTTTAGTTTTCTCCACAGGGGCTATTTCTCAAACCTTAACTGTTTCTAACTCAAAGCAATAATATCACATACCGTCAACTGGTGTATCAGGAGGTCCATTAAAAAGGTAATCTTGTTACTAAACAGAACATCAGCGCAGTTTTCTGAACAGTTATTGCAGGTGAGGTTGTAAACATTGATTGCATTGCAGAGAGACCTAATAGAAGGAGAAAAACACCATTTGTAAAACCTGTACAGCTCTTCTCCAAACAATTAGAAATACATAAAATGAACGGTACAAAAGTCATTGGCATAGGATGAAAGTCACTCTAAAAAAAAAACCAAGCCAAATACTATTAGGTGCAAGGTCCATCAGCCAGATATAAAAGCTTATACCTTTCATTCAGAACCCAGTGTTCACTGGTACCTAATAACTCTTACTAATTTCTATCACCTGCAGCTGCAGATAATGGAAACATATTTACCAGTCTGCCTGATAATTTCTTTCTTTCTTTTCTTTTCTTTTCTTTTTTTTTTTTTTTTGAGTCAGAGTCTCACTCTGTCACCCAGGCTGAAGTGCAGTGGCATGCTCATGGCTACCACAGCCTCGACCTGCTGGGCTCAGGCGATCCTTCCCCCTCAGTCTTCCAAGTAGCTGGAACTACAGGCATGTGCCAGCACGCCCAGCTAGTTTTTTGATTTATTGTAGAGATGAGGTCTTGCCAACTTGCCCAGGTTGGTCTTGAATCCCTGGGCTTAGGCAATCCTCTCACTTCCATCTCCCAAAATGCTGGGGTTACAGGCATGAGCCACCACACCCCGTGGTCTATCTAGTAATTTCTTAATACTCTTAGATGTCATCCAGGAATTGATAAAATAATACCCAGAAGAAAAGTTCTACTAAAACTTCTATTGCCAGACCTCCAGGTCCAGAATAAGAGCAGATAATAGAAGAGATGAGCACCTGTGAGGAAAAACTGGAGGCTTTCCTTATGAGAATTCCCCATGGAGTTTTGGGAAGTGAACACCACACCTGCTTGCACACTGTATGGACATGGATGGAGCAGATGAGGACATTTTTCCTAGAAGGTAAAAACGTCTGGTGGGCCCAAACAGGTTAAGGTTAAGCTGATCAAGAAATGCTTTTCTCTGGGTTATTAAAAAAAATGATATGCCATTGTTCAAAGACTCTTTTGCAGCAATAAGCTCAGTGGACACTCTCATGGCTGTTCTGAAGACTGTGACTAAAACCTGCATTGCCTGAGTAATCAATGTTTATTTTGGTCTATCTTACTAAATCTCCTCCTTAAGTCCTATGTAATAACGTTTTGATTTAGTTTCTTGTCACCAATCCTCCAGGACAGTAGTTCTTAAAAGTGTAGTCTACAGACTATGAGCATCAGTATCACCGGGGAACTTGTTAGAAATGAAAATTCTCAAGCTCTACTCCAGACCTAGTAAGAGAAATTCTGAGGGTGGGGTCAAGAAACCTGTTTTAACAAGTTCTACAGATAATTTTGATGTGTGTTCAAGTTAGAGAATTCTGGTTCTAGGATAAGTGTTCTATATCTTTACTAAGCATTAGAGTCGCCTGTAGATCTTTAACCATTTATGCTTGCTTGAGTTCCTTCCCTGGTGATGCTAATTGGGGACTGGGGTAGAATCCTAACATTTGAATGTTTCAAAATCTCTTTGGGTGATTTTAGAGGTTTTAGAGCAACCATGTGAGTATTCATTCATTCAACAAATATCCAAGTTCCTGTGGTGTTCTAGGCACTGCACTTGGGGGATAAGACAGCCAAGTCCTCTGTCCTAAAGGACCTGATGCTCTAGTGGGAGAGGGATAGTGAAAGCACCTGTTGTACTTGTAAAACTATCTAATATAGTTAAGCCTCACTTGTAATTGATAGGTTCCTGAAAAAATGGGCACAGTAGAGTATACTGGTTAAGAGTAGACCCCAGAATATGATATGCTTAGGTAAGAATCCCATTCTTACCTAAGATTCAAGATTTTAGCAATTTAACATTTTAGCACCCATAAAACTGGAATAACAATACCTAGGCTTCATATGGTTGTCATTGAGAACTGAGATAATAGGGTAAAGTACTGAGGACTGTGCTTGGCACATGATTAAGTACTTAATAAATGGTAGCTCTTATTAGAGCTATTACTCTTATTATTAAGGTTATTAATCTTTTTATTATTAATGAATACAGCACAAAAGAAATGTTAATAAATTGAATCAAATTAAAGCAGGCTACATACACATGCTTATTTTCAGGATAATAAAACACAGTGCTTCCCAAGTGTTTTCATGAGATACTGGCATAAATGATGAAAGGACTCTAAGTTGTTGGGTGCCAAGAGGAGACTCACCTGCTCCCAGCCTCACCTAATCTGATGACTGTACAGAAAATCCTTGGCCAACATGAAACACATTTATGACACATTAGTTGGAGACTCTAGCAAATCTTTCTCAAGTATCAGTCAGCATTATTTCCTTTATTTGACAGCACACCTACATTTTCTTTTTTCCAAAGTTCCATTTCTTTATGAACCAACATGGAAAATGGTATTTATTCTTCAGAACATCATTCAATAAATTTAAGAAAACAAAAAAATTAACCTATTTTCCCTAGACATCAGAAAAAATACTACTGGTTCAACAAATGAGTGAGCTGAATTTTTTTCTACTAGTTAGTTTTTATTTTTTTAAATCTCTATCTTGTTTTAAAGATGTGGGGTACAATTCAGGATTAGCTATACAAGTAGATATTGTACAGGTAAAGTTTGGGCCTCTCTTTGGTTCCCACTTTGCTTGGTTTGAGATCACGTATCCTTATTGATGTTGTGTATCCCCTTCCCAACCTGGCAGTATTCCGCTACTGCCAACTCTTTTCTTAAAGTATTATGGTGAATGTTCAGGGTCCACTTATGAGAACATGTGGTATTTTGTTCTTTGTTTCTGTGATAGATCACGGAGTATTATGAGACTCTAAATCCATCCAAGTTGCTGCAAAGTTCATATGTTTGTCCTTCTTTATGGCTATGTAATATTCCATTGTGTATATGTACCACATTTTTAAAATCCAGTCCAGGTTCAATGGGCAGCATGGCTGGTTCCATGTTTTTGCTATTGTGAATAGTGCTGCAATAAACATGCATGTGCAGTTATTGTTTTTGTAGAATGATTTGAGTTCCCCTGGGTATATTCCCAGTAGGGAGATTGTTGGGTCACATGGAAGGTCAATTTCAAATTCTTTCAGAAATCACCATACTGTTTTCCATACAAGTTGAACTAGTTTGCATTCCCATGGCATTCCCAAAGCAGTGTTGTTTTATTAATGATGGCCATTCTTACTGGGGTTAGTTGGTATCTCAAAGTGTTTTTGATTTACATTTCTCTGACAACTAGTGAGGATAAGCACTTTTTTATGTCTGTTGGCTGCTCTTGTATCTTCTTTTGAGAAGTGTCTATTCATGTCTTTTGCCCACTTTTTAGTGGGGCTGTTTGTTTTTTCCTTTCGGCATGTTTGAGTTCCTTATAGATCCTGGATGTTAGGCCTTTGTCAGACATTCAGTGGGCAAATATTTTTTCCCATTCTACAGGCTGTCTCCCCACTCTCTTGATGGTTTCTTTTGTCTTGCAGAAGCTTTTTAGCTTAGAGGTCCCACTTGTCTATCTCATCTCTTATGGCATGGACATCTAGGGTTTTTTTTTTTTTTGAGTTGGAGTCTCACTCTGTCGCCCAGACTGGAGTGCAGTGGCCGCTCTCGGCCACCGCAGCCTTGACCTGCTGGGCTCCAGTGATCCTTCCGCCTCAGCCTTCCAAGTAGCTGGAACTAGAGGCATGCGCTACCCCACCCGGTTGATTTTTTTATTTATTGTAGAGATGAGGTCTCGCCGCCCAGGCGGGTCTCGAACCTGTAGGCTCAGGCAATCCACTTACCTCAGCCTCCCAAAGGTGTGGGATTATAGGCTGAGCCACCGAGCCTGGCTACATCTAGGGTTTTTTTTTTTTATCAGGAATTGGTTGCCTACTCTGATTTCTGTAAGGGTATCTCCCACATTTTCTGAGATTCTTATAGTTTGACGTTTTACATTTAGGTCTTTGATCCATTTAGAGTTGATTTTTTAGCACACCTAAATTTTCAAAGGGGAGTTTTCTATTTAACTTAAAAAATAATGTGCATTTATGGCTATAAAATAATTTTAATAGGGCTGGGTACAGTGGCTCACGCCTGTAATTCCAGCACTTTGTGGAAGGCTAAGGTGGGTAGATTGCTTGAGTTTGAGACTAGCCTGGGCAATATCATGAGACTTCATCTCTACCAAAAAAACCACAAAAACATAGCTGGGTATGGTGATGCATGTCTATAGTCCCAACTACTTCGGAGGCTGAAGTGGAAGGATAGCTGAGCCCAGGAGATCAGGGCTATGGTGAGCCATGATTGTGCCACTGCACGCCAGCCTAGACGACAGAGTGAGAGCCAGACTTAAAAAAAAAAAAAGTAATACATTTGGGAAAGAGAAGCACAAAAATTGTAAAATACTATCAAGATAAAATTTAGTATTTGTGCTTCCAGTCAAATATATATGTGTGTGTGTGTGTGTGTGTGTGTGTGTGTGTGTGTGTGTGTGTGTGTATATCTCCCCATTTTTCATTTATTCCTTTTTTTATTGGAAAAAAGACATACAAACTTTTATTAACATGTACATGGGGAGAGTCACATAATACATAAATTAATAATACATAATAATGAACAGTTTTCTATGTCATCTAATATCTTCTATAACACTTGTTTTTAATTTTTAAGAAGAACAGCAAATGTTTCTTTAAACAAAACCTTACTCAGAAACTTAAACCACAGAACAGATAAAATCTAAGTTGCTTTGGCAGAAGCAGAAGTGGAGGACCCAGGAGCCTAACCAGCCTTCTCCTCTCAAAGAGCCTTGAGGACTTCCTTAGAGGCCTAGAGGTATGTTATCTTGGAATACATTGAAAACTACTGTGCTAAGATATAATTAAAATTTAGCTTGGCAGCTTTTTGAACAGGTGATGATGACCACAATGCAACACACTCAAAAAGGGTGTATGATAAAAAGCACCTACTGCCTCATGTTCCCCAGTCTTACCTTAGAAATCAACATGGTTACTGTTTTACTTATCCTTCCAGGGATAGGCTGTGCATATGAAAGCTAATTTCCCCCCTAC